CAGGGACTGGGAGCCAGAGAGAGAAGGGGAGGGGAAGCTGGAGCTAGGGAGTCTGGGGGTCACCTTGAAGAGGGAGCATGTAGAAGGAAAGCTGAGAGCTGATCCAAGCCCAGCCAAAGCTCAGCTCTGCCTGACCCTGCATCATGGCGGCAAGGACCAGAGGTTCTGCCACAGAACTTGGGCCAGATGACATGAGACAGAAGCTGAGGCAAACTCCAGCAGGCCTGTAAGTCCAGGGACCCTCCAACCAGAGGCCTTTACAGACATTTCCAGCCTGATGGAGTTGGAGAAAATGGGGCCTGGGAACTGACGGAGAGGAACCACCGACAGTGGCTCAGACAGCACAAGAGCCCTACTCTACTCCGATTTACCCGTATCTAAGAACTCAAGGTCCAGAAGCCCAAAGGCATGTCGCACTCCCATCCCCAATGTTAGGAGTGTCACTGCCACAAAACAGCTTGGATACGTGTTTGCCTCTCTCTCACACTCTTCTCCTGGCTCACTACGTTACCTCTTTTGCCTTTGCAGTGAGTGTGTGCATCGCTGGGTCCTTATGTCATGACTCCACAGCTTGATTCTTGTCAAGTTCTATCCTACTTTGCAGACATATACCACACACTTTTATCAAACAGCTCCCTGAAAGACATCTGGGTTCCTTCAGGTTGGGGCGGTCGTGAATAAAGTCCCCAGCCTGCAGCATGCATGAGTTTTTGCAGAAACTTAAGTTTTACTTCTGTTCTGTTTCTTGAGACAGGGTCTAGTGGCCCAGGCTGGTCTCTAACTCATCTTCACAACTCCTCTTCTGCCTCCTCACAGTCAGTTTTCATGCCTCACGTTAATCTTGAACTTTTTTTTTTTCTGAGTAAATACCCCGGAGAACAATCGCTGAATTGTATGATAAGGGAACCTTTGGTTTTGAAAGAGAATACCACACTGTTTTCCAAAGCAGCTACAGCCTTCTGCACCTTCACCACAATGAGTAGGACTGCCCACTACCTCCCTGCCCTGCCCTAAACCAATGTCGTCACCCTTTTGGATTTGGGCTACCTAGTAGGTGTGCAGCGGTGTCTCATTGTTGTTTCAATCTGTAATTCCCTGGTGACGGCAGGTGCCAGGCATCTGTTTTGAATAATTCCCTTTGAGATTTTATCTTTGGTCATGTAATTGTTCAGACCATTTTGGCCATTTCTGTTTGTTGTTTTTTATTTGTTTGTTTGTTTAAAGAAAGTGTCTCACACTATAGCTCAGACTAACCTGGAACTCACAGTAGTCCTCTCCCTACACCTTGCTGTTTAAACAAATCTACCGATTCCCAAGCCACGAAGAAAGCCATCTTTGTGTTTCTTTCCCACTAAGTCTCCAGTGTCTCTGGGATTTGTTGGTTGTTCTGATGTGATAGAAGGATCATTAACAGTTTATTCAAGATTACCTTTTCTCCACTGCCCTTCCTATCACCTGGACAGATAAAGGTGAAACTCTTCCTTCGCTTCCACCCACTCCTCTGTCAACATCATCCTGTCTTGATTACTGAACACAGTACGCACCCCCTCTTCACTGAAATGACTGCTGTCCAGGCCAGATTGCTAAAGCCAGTGTCTTAAGGCAGCTCCTGCCTTCCACCCCATGCATAAACCGAGGTGTCTAGCCTCATGGCCACGCCTCTCATAAGACACTTTCTTCAGGGCTCCCAGGCACTCCTCTCTCTTGGTCTGTCTCCAGATGGCCACTGTTTGGTTTCCTTTGTTGCGTCCCCCTCAACTTGTCCCCATAATGTTGGGAAGCCTCGGGGCTCAATCTCTAGCCTGTTTGTGTGTATAGGCTTTGCACACCTGGCCCTTTGTTTCACCCAATCTCATTGGGGGGAAAACCCTGACTTCTATGCTACTTCTATGGCAGGTGGCCCTGTCTCCTGGACTCACAACTCAAACAGCCACTGCTACTCACCAGGACTTTAGGTATACCGTGCAGGCACACACTGGACTTGACCATGCAAAGCTGAGCCTCCGTCTTCCTGCCTAGGCCCCTTCCTCCCACAAGGCACCTCTTGCCTTATCAGATACTACTAGTCCAGCTGTTTCAGAGAGCCCCCTGCAATGTCACTGCTGAGCTCCACTTTAATACCGCCTTGTGGAGCCAACAAAGATATCCTCCTGCAGAGCAGAGGATGCCTTCCTCTCCCCACCTCACAGGCCAGGCCTCACTGTTTCCTTTCCCCTGGACAACCGCTGCATCTTCCAGGTGCCCTCCTCCCTCTCCTGAGCACTCCATCTCCCTGTCCACTCCTCTTCCTGCCCCCCCCCCAGACCAAGACTTGAGCTACCTTCTGGCATCTTCTCTTAATTGTCCAGTGTCCCTGGCTCTTGTCCACCTTCTTAGAGATGCTCACATGAGGCCTCTGTGATAGCACCCCCCCCCCATGACTTCCTGCATCCCATTTTGCACCAGTTTTTGAGGTCTGCATGAACTGCCTGGTTCCTGTTTTGTCCGACCTCACCTGAAGTATAGACTTCAGGAAGGCAGGACTTTCTGCATTGTTCCTGTTTGACACCCAGAGAAGAACCTGCCATGAAGTTGGTATTTAGTAGTCATGGGAACCCGAGATGAATGCATCAATACTGGGAAGGCAAGAGGAGCCTGGCCCATGAGGCATCCCGTGTGGCCCCTGGGAGACTCTGAAGTGGAAGTCCAGCAGGGTGGCTTCCAATAACCTGGGCCTGGGCTATCTCACCTCAGGGCTAAGGCTGGGGATGGTCTCTAAGCAAAGAATGTCTCCATGAGGAGGAAGTGCTACATAGAGGGTGCTAAGGGTGCTGGACAAGCCTGCTCCTGTCCTTCTCTCATTACTGAACTCGTCAAATGGACAGGAGAGTCTTGGAGTAGGGAAGATGCTAGGGAGATCTCCAACCTGAGGGACCAGCCATTAGGGAGGACCCAGGCCTGGTCTTCTTTCTGGAGGCAACTCCATGTGCTGTAGGAGCACAGATTAGATATCTAGGCTGGGTTCTCCCACCTGCCTCTTCATTCCCCTCAGGCAATGCACCAGATAAGGCCTATGTCCTTACTCAGTTCAGCTGCTCTGGCCTGGCGCACTTGGAGCCCCAAGGAACCTCTCCAATCTGTTGTAAGTCAAAGGGTCCCTCTAAATCCACCAGAGTCAACGTTTAGCGCAGGTGGCAAGGGCTGAAAAGCGGGCCCCGCTAAGTGCATCCCAGGACCAAAGATGGATGACTAAACACAACAGCAGAGCCTGAACACATTGACCCCTTTCCTGCCTCGAGAGTACCGAAGGCAAGCCTGCTGCACACAGGGCTTCAGTCAGTCTAGCAGGTGCACAGGGCCCGGGGGCCTGAGACAGGCAGAGGGGGAGGGTATATACTCCAGTATGGTGGGAAAACTCAGGCTCATCCCTGAGCTCTGTCAGTTGAGAAAAGATGAGAAGACACACACACCTCACCCTCCACCTCTGAGCCTCCCAGGGCCTATGGGATAGCAATTGTAGGACTGTGTGCATCTAGGTACGCACCCACACAGACTGTAGGACTCCTACCATGTACCAGGTATGGGGAAATCCAGGGACAGAGACAGCTAGTGTTTCTTGCAGAGAATGGACTACGGGTGTCTCTGAGTGGTCCCTGTCAACCTTTTACCCTGTGGCTTGCACCAGCCACACACATGCACGGCTGGATTCCATGTCCTGCGTCTAGTCATGCTGACACACACTGTCCATTCCTCAGTAGCTGGCTCATCTCATAGATGTCTGTATTGGTACCTGAGTACCCTGCAACACTATCTGTGACGGGCTGGAAGACCCAGCATCGTGTCCCAGAGGACCAATTTTACCTTGCCCACCCATGGTCCAGTAGTAATTTCCAGCTAGCAGCCCTAGGGACAACTCCAAGGCCAGGCCAGGGCAACTCTAGCTCTCACATGGGAGGTTACGGTAATGTGTGTGGTGCTGACTGGAGGCAAGGCCCAGGCTGTGGTTACCCACTTGTGGCCATGACACTAGTCCTGAGTGAAGGGCCTTGGAAGAGGTCAAGTGTCCAACCTGGTGATGCAACAGGTGAGAATTGCAGTTCCAAACCTTGGAACTAGGGCAGTGCATGTGTCCACCTGTAGAGTGGACCTAGATAGAGGTGTCTACCTCCTCAGTTCAAGGCCGAGAATGCACAAAAGAGCTTCCTGGATCAGACCCTTGCAAGCCTCTGAAGCGTTCCTGTCCTTGTTTGGACATCACCTCTCAGAGAGGATATTCCCCTTAAATCCCCCTACAGGTTGTGAGCGCCCCATGATGTAGAGATGGACCCTGCCTCTCTCCAACAGCACCTAATTCAGTTGCTGACACTAAGCAGGACATTAGGAAGCGAACTAGTAAAGACTCGGGGTAATCGCAACCCTGTCCTCTTCTCATTGTGCACCTCTTTCCCTCACCTTCTCTGCAAGCTCACAGAGACCCTGGTTCCTTATATCGTTAGATGCATGGTCCCTGGACCAGGCCTGCAATAAACACTGCTACAGTACGGATCAGCATGCTAGGTGTTCCAGCCTGAGAAAAAAAGGGCATCGCTCTGGGGAGGTGAGTAGGCAGTAGACCTTTGAAGAGGATGGAGTATACGGGTCCAAGGGTCCAGAGAGGCTCCTGGGAAACTCTCAAGGAGGAACAGAGCTGAGAGGGGAAAGTCTTAGGGTTTAAGCTGGTACCCAGGAGAGGGTCAAGCCCCAGACAGCGATCACACCCTGGTAGTGGGAACCCTAGTTCTGTTGGCGCTGAAGGCGGGGTTCGCCCCAGCGGATGCTTCAAGGCCTGGAACTCAGCGCTCTTCCTTCCCCACGTGACCCGCATCCAGGCATTCTCTGATCCGGGGAAAGTCAGCCGGGCGCGTTCCCGAGCGCCGTGCGCAAGCCTGGAGCAACGCACGCCTGCGCCTGGGCAGTGTTGGAGGCGGTCCCGGGTTGTCCCGCCCAGCGCCCGCTTCCCACGTGACCCATTGGGGCGCAAACAAGCCGGTCAGCTGACTTCTTGGGACTGCGGCGTCATCCAGGCTATAAGCGCGCGACCTCTGACATTAAGCTTCGCTCCCGCCGGGCCACCGCAACCATGCAGACCCCCGGCATCTTGCTGCTCGCCCTCGGCCTCCTGGCCGCATCCACCTCCGCGGTTATCAGGTGAGGACCCGGTCTGGGTCCGGTGATGCGGGTGCGTCTCTGGGAGTCCCGCGTACTCCGGCGGGTGCTGGAATGCACCTGCACTCAGTGCGGCCTTCCTCAGGGTCCTGCGGACTATGGGACGAGAAACTCAAAACGTAGGAGTCTTCTGGGTCCCCCTCCATTCCTGTGTTCGGACGGGAGGGTACAGTAGAGTGGCTACAAGTGAGGCTGACTTCAGCCTCCCCAGCAAGGGGGTCTTCTGAGGAGCATTGCTACTCCATGGGTGGGATGTTGTTGGCTACCATTCCAGCTGTGGAAGTCGGAAGACCCACTAGGCCCGTGTCCCTCAGAACCTGGCCAGGCCTTTCCTTTTAAGGGACCCTGTTTGACAGCTGTTTACTGGTGCAGTCTCAGAAGTTTACTCAAAAGATGTTTCCTCTGTGGGTGTTGAATTGCTCCATCCTCCCTCCTGAGTCGAACAAGCCTCAGAGAGAGGAGGTATGGAGTGACCCAATTCAGAATCAACCTTGGGGCTGATATCTACCTTACTGGGGACCGGGCCCTTCTCAGGCCTGTGGACTCAGCCTTTGTGCTAGATGGGGCCTTTGTGGTGGCCTGTGCCCCTTCCCACTCTGTGCTGGTGTTCTATTTGTGGCTGGTGGATGAAGCCATTAGGGTTGCTGGAGCAGAGCTGGCTCTGCCGGCTGGGCACCAGGCCTGGGTGGGAAGGAGTACAGCCTGTAGGCTGCAAGCCGGGGTTGGCTAGCCTCAGTGGAGCCATTGTAGGGAGTGGCCTAGGCTTGAGCCTGCTCTGGTCTTGTCCGCCCTACCCTGAGGCTTCCCTTCTCTGAGGAGAGGTGGTGTTGCAGTGGTGAAGGAAACTCTATGGTCCCTGGGACTAGGCACCAGAACCAAAGCCACTCTCTTAAGATCCTTGATACCTTGGGCTGTTGGCATGTTTCCTGACCTCTGCAGGGTGTGCACCCCCCCTCCCCACCCCCAAAAGCCAGAAGCCTGCTTTAGTCCACCACTCTTAGGCAAGAATCCTATCTTTCTGGAGCACACCCAGAGAGGTCGTATGGGAAAGGTCACCTGTGACCTTGGAGACAAATCCCTGGGCACAGAAGTTTCATCAACTGATTACAGACTCAGGCCAGCTTTCCTGGGGAGTGGAGAGGTGACCTGGAGGACTGGGCAGAAACTCCTCCCTCTGCTAACTAATGGTAGAATCCCCTGTTTAGTGTCCTGCATCAGGTCTGCCAGAAGCACGTGTGGGCCTTGAGTCTGTGGTAGTAGGTGTTCCTGGGTGAAAGTGCTGGGTCTTGTGAAGGGTGTCAGGGCTGGCTAGGGAGAGCCTGGGGAGTTGGTGTTGAAGGCTCCTAGATGATTAGGGGAAGAACCTCCAGGTAGGTCAGGATGATGCTATCACTGCAAGCTTTGTGGGGAGGGGACCACCTCTTTGTAGAGTCCAGGTAGGAACCAATGTATCTAAGAGCCAGGTTCAGTGGAGGTTCAGAGCCCGGGAGTCCCTTGTTTTAGGTGCACCTTGCTTTAGATGCACCTGTGCCGCCACCTCCTCCCCCTCCTCCTCCCCCTCCCCCTCCTCCCCCTCCCCCTCCTCCTCCTGGGTTCCCCAGGGCACTGGGAACAATTGCCTGGCCACACCCTAAACAGAACCCACTAGCTGGTAACCCGGAAAAGACTGGAGCAGGCTGACAGAGAGAGCTGGGAACCAGTCTGTGTGCTGTTTGCTTTGCCTCTGGAATGACTGTGAGCCACCTGACTGGAGTGTGGTTGTGGAGGGAAAGGGGTGGGCACACTAACCCATACTTGGACATGAGGAAAAAGGCAGGCTGGAGCCCTCTGTGACTGAACTGAGGAGCCTGTGGTAGTGATAGGGTGCCTTTAGCTGATTCGGTGGGCCACTGGGCCTATGGCTTTGGGGGTGGGAACTTTTGATATGTCATGGCCAGTTTGAGATACATGGGTTCATCTATAGGGACATACTTTGCCAGAGGCGCTGAGGTACATGCTGGCTGGCACTCATTCTGTACTGAGAGGGCTCCCTGGCCTGCCTTGGAGTGTCCTGGGGTAGGGGGTGGGGTGGGAGAACAGTAGGCAAAGCTGTGCGCGCTAACATAACTGCATCCCATCCTGACAGAATCCCCCTGCACAAGTTCACGTCCATCCGTCGGACCATGACAGAGATGGGCGGTTCTGTGGAAGACCTGATCCTGAAGGGTCCCATAACCAAGTACTCCATGCAACCGTCTACTGAGACCAAGGGGCCAGTGTCAGAGATACTCAAAAACTACCTGGATGTGAGTGGGATTGTGTTTTGGGGGCTTCGTTTGAGAGGTGAATGTGAGAGGAGCTAGCTCCCTGGGATCAGTAGCCAGTTTTTCCTGGGGTGTCTTTTCAGTGGGGGTGGGCTTCCAGGTTCAGCCACTGCATTCCCTTCTTGGTAGCTCCTCATTCCTGCCATCCTAGAATCCTTGTTCCTTGTGCCTTGATGGGCCTGCTCAGGCTAACGGTTGGATTGGGGGTCCTTGCAGAAGGCTCTTCCTGGATCTTGAGGTTTTTCCTTTATTTGTGGTACTAGGACTGAACCTAGAACCTCTTGTAGAATGGGCAAGTTCTTGGTCGTTGAGCTCCATCCCCGGTCATGCCCTCCCCAACGCCACGTTAGGTGTTGGACACAGACTTTTAGTTCATCTGCTGCTGGTGATGATTCTCATCCTTAGGACTGTCCCATGGTGTGTAGAGAGGCCTGGAATCAAACTCAAAGTCTGGTCAGAGCTTGCCCCAGGGCTGAGTTGTGGGAGCCTGGGGGAGCAGTAGCTGTACCTATGTGGGCATAAGTCTGTGTACATTTCCTAGGAGAGGCCTAGGATGATCCCCTGCCCATCACCACCTTGCCATCTTACCCAAGATCAACCATCCTCCTTGCTTTTTTAGCACCACTGCCTCCCCTCCTTTTCTGGAGATTGAACTGATTAGTGCCTTGTGTATTTTAGGTACTTGCTCTACCACTGTGCTTTGTACCCACCTTCCCCCCCCCCCTTTTTTTTTTTTTACTTTTTATTTTGAGATAATCGCCCTAGCTGGCTTTGAACTTGCAGTCCTGCTGATCTCCGCCTTCTGAGTGGTTAGGATTAGAGGTCTGGCTCAGTGGCTCACTCTCCTCGAAGGGGAAACAGTCCCTGAGGGAGAATATTCTCGAAGCCACATAATGACCTGGTCCCAGCTCTGTGGAAGGTTCTGGGCTGGAGCCTGACATCTGTTAGGTCCCTTCCCCCCAAGTCTTATAAACCCAGGATGACTGTGCAGCCCTGGGCTAAATTGGCAGTGCCTTATGTCTTGTCTGACCCAAGCTATGTCAGTGACAGGAAGCATGAGACCCAGGCTTGTGACTGGCTGAGGAAGGTGAGAAGTCTGCCTATCTGAGGCCAGCCGGTTAGTTCCTACATGCATGCACGCGCACACAAACATGCATAGTACAGTTTGCTGAGTCATAATGCCCTTTCCTCTGCCCAGTTACTTCTCTTGGGTTTTCTGATGCTCTCTGGAGTAAGTGGGATTGGACCCTTGGTCTTGTATCCACCAGTGGCACAGGCTCCTTTCTGGGCAGACCAGAGTATGGGTGACTCACAGCCACTAGTTAACAACTGGGCTTCCAATTTGGAAACCCCTGTGCCTGCCTAGCCACTGGAGTTGGTGGTCCCAGCTGTCTGTGTGAATAAATGGGCAACCAAGGCCAGGCTTCTCTGCTGTGCAGCAGTGACCAAGTTGGGGCAAGTACCGTTGCCTCCATGGTGGCCTCTCTCTCTCATTTGTTCCACAGGATGGTCTCCAGACTAAGGCCAACAGGTACAGGCAGGAGTTAAGATCTTCAGAGTCAGGTGTGACACTCTCAAACAGCAGAGGGGCCTTCCTGGCTAGCTTTATCTGTGCTTGAATTTGTAGAGGGCCAGGCCTGACCTTCTGCTGGTCCAGTTCTTCCCCAGCCCACAGTACAGTAGGCAAAGGGGCCCAGAGTCTTGGAGTTCAGTACTGGGTCTCAGGCCCACCCTTCTAGAATTTACTCTTTGGGAATGCCCCCTCCCCATTCAGTGTCCAGTAGGTAGAGATGTGTGTGTAAGCTGAGGCCTGGGCCCGGGGCACTCTCTTGCTCAGTCTAGGCCTTTCAGCCTTGGTTTTCTAGAAAGCCAGAAGCCCTCTCAGGTATTTCCTCTCAATCTTGATGGACATCGTTCCTCTCCTAGGCCCAGTACTTCGGTGACATCGGCATTGGGACCCCTCCACAGTGTTTCACAGTCGTCTTTGATACTGGCTCCTCTAACCTGTGGGTCCCCTCGATTCATTGCAAGCTGCTGGATTTAGCCTGCTGTGAGTCTCCCTGATGTCCTCTCTCTATCACCCATGCCAGGGATCTAGAGAAGAGACTAAAAGCACCGTTTAACATGTCTGGCTCTGGGGTGCTCTGGCTTTGCCGTCAGCCATGCTCAGTGGCCTTTGGAACAATCAGGGTGACAGAAGCCCTATCGTGGGGGTCCCTGAGCAGCTGGTATTGACTTCCCTCTCTCTAGAGAGTGGGGTTGAAGCCCCAAGTCTTTAAAGTCCAGCATTTCTGGGATGTAGTTGAGGAGGCTGTGGGAAGCAGGTCGGGTTTGAGATTTGCAGGTGCTCAGACCCAGACCACCTCCGGGACGGTGTTTCCCCACCTGTCCAGCACACCCAACAGGCCCCGCTCTTCCACCCTGCCCTGAGGTACCCACTTGTCAGGTCTTGTCAGCTACAGCCTTGTCATTGAGGCTGGGGAATGTTGCTGGTCAAGGATGGAACAAGCTGAGGGCTGGGCCTCCTGTAAGGCCAAGACCAAGGCTTTGGGTATATAGCCCGTGGTCCAGGGTTCCCTCGTTGTGTGGGCATAGGTCATGGCCAAAGGCGAAGTTGGCGATACAGCCTGGGCAGCTGGCCCTACAGCACCCCTTGGAGGGGCCGGAGACTGTGGTGGTGGGCAGGCAGACTGACCACAGTCCTGCTCTCCCGCAGGGATTCACCACAAGTACAATAGTGGCAAGTCCAGCACCTACGTGAAGAACGGCACAGCCTTCGACATCCACTACGGCTCAGGCAGTCTCTCGGGGTACCTGAGCCAGGACACCGTGTCGGTGAGTTCCCGGGGCCTGTCCTGGAGCTCAGAGGCCCCGTCATGACAACGGGTTCATCTTGTGAGCGCCCACAGCTGAGGAGAGAGGGCGTGGTGTTCCTAGCCCAAGTTCAGCAGCCTGTGGCTGTGGCAGTGCTGGGCGATAGGGAACAGAGGCAGACTGGCTAGACTAGGATGCCATTTGAACAAAGGCCCTGGGGCAGGAGACCCCAGCATGCCTGGTGGTAAGGAAGCTGATGGGAAGGACTTGGGAGAGGGCAGCCTTATTGTATGCAAACTGGAGGGGCAGCCAGGAATTCCCAGGGTTGGCAGAGTGAGTGGGAGAGGCAGAGCTGGGGCATGGAGTGTTGGCTAGTGGGGACTACCACCTTGAGTGGCTGCTGACACAGCGTGGCCTGGCCTGGCCTGGCCAGAGAGCTGTGGGCAGATCTGCTGCTGGTCTGCTAGTGTTAGGGACACTGGCTGGGGAGGACTGTGCTGCATGCCTTTGATTTGAGGTGCCAGCAGAGTGTCTTTTTTTTTTTTTTTTTTTTCCCTTCTTTTTTTCTTTTTGGTTTTTCCAGGCAGGGTTTCTCTGTGTAGCATTGGCTCTGGAACTGGCTCTGTAGACCAGGCTGGCCTCAAATTCACAGGGATCCATCTGTCTCTGCTGCTCAAGTGCTAGGACTAAAGGTGTGCATCACCACCACCCTGCTGCCAGCACGGTGTCTTAAGGCCTTGAGGAAGGTCTTGGCGAAGGGGCCAGGCCTGGAGGATAGAAAGGGTCCCTGAGGGTTGTCGAGGCTGAGATGGGCTGGAAAACTCTGTCTGTGCTGGAATAAATGCTGTGAAGGAGCCAGGAGGGTGTGCCTGGGCTGGGCTCTTTGTCTGTAGGAAGATCTTGTAGTCTGAGCCTTCATCCCCAAGGAGAGGCCATTCACCACTCCTGAGGTAGCCCCCCCAAAGGTCAAGCCTTCCAGGATGGGGCAGGAAGCTGCAAATTCATCAGCTGGGCCCAATTGGTTGGGGTTGGGGGTAGAGCTAGCATCCTGCTCACCTGGCCTTTGTCTGGGGAGTGATACCCTGTACCTGTGAGATCAGAGCCCTGTCCTGTCCTTGTCTTGTAGAGGCTCCCCTGTAATGCTTCTCAGGGGCCCCTCAGTGCATAGGACATTAACCACCCACATTACATCCTTCTGACATGTCCTCAGCCGCAGCTCTTTCCACTTCCTGCTCTGGTTGTGCAACCTTTGTGTGGTGGGGTGGGCTGATTGTGAGCAGAGGGAGTGTGGCTCCAAGGTGACAGTTGTGGGTTAACCAGCTGCTCAGGCTGCAGGCTCAATGGCTTGTCCCCAAGTCCAAGGGCAAGAACTGTCCCTGGTGGGTGTAGATAGGGGAATAGGTGGGCTGGAGCTGAGGCTGTAGTATCTCGCTCTGTGCTCCGCCCCTGCTTCTCATCTTGGTTAACACAAAGTCCCCATAAGTCCCTCAGAGAGGAACTCATCATGTCCTTGTCTTCAGCTCTGTGGCTATATCAAGCCCTTCTGTTCACACTCTGCTATTTTGGCCCTCCTGAGAGGGAATATCAGCTATGACTTCTGTGTTCTGTCCTGCAGGTGCCATGTAAGACCGAGAAGACAAGCCTTGGTATCAAGGTGGAGAAACAGATCTTTGGGGAAGCCACCAAGCAGCCTGGAATCACGTTCATCGCAGCCAAGTTTGATGGCATCTTGGGCATGGCCTACCCTCGTATTTCTGTCAACAATGTGCTTCCAGTCTTTGACAACCTGATGCAACAGAAGCTGGTGGAAAAGAACATTTTCTCCTTCTACCTGAACAGGTGCAGCAGGAGAGGCATGACTTATTCTCCTTTGGGCTCAGCTCCAGGGGGAAGGAAGTAGATGGTTCTTAAGAGTCTTTGCTGCAGCCTTGGCCATAGCATTAGACCTGAGGGTGTCTGGCAGGCAGGAGTTACTGTTAGTTGCCTGGGAGAGAAGGTCATGTGCCATTAGCCAGGAGATGCTGGTTGTCTGGGTCAGAGTCTTGGCTCTTGGGGTCCTGGGACCGGTAAGGGCAGATGTGGCCCATGCTTGAGCTGCTGGTTGCTTGGAGAGATATGAGTATGAGCCCTGATCTTTGACACAGTTCAGGACAGGCTCCTGGGACCTTCTCTAAGACAAGAGTCTGGAGTCACTGGGGGAGGACTGAGAGCCCTGGGTTATACATTGAGAGTGGACAGTGGCCTTGGGGGGTGGGAGACCTTGTTAGGAGACAACCTCTCCACAGTACAAGACACGTGTACAAACACACACACACACACCCACACCCACACCCTTTCATGGAGCGTCCAGCATCCATCAGTTTCTTGCCCCTTGCAGGCCTGAGTCTTCTTGTTCAGGAACTTCAGAGAAAATGGACAGCTGGGTATATGGGGCTCATCACTTGCTGGCTTCAACTCCTGTGGGTCAGGTGTAGTCCTCTCCCAGGCCCATAGTGCATTGGGGAAACGTGGTCACAAATCCTACCTGTCTGTATAAGTCTCAAGGCTTAGTTCTAGGATCTCAAGATACCCATCCTCCTTTTCGGTAGTCTGTTTTCTTAGGGGAGCCCCCTCTCCCCCACGCACAGGCTCAGCAAGTAGGAAAGGATGTGGTAGCTACAGCCTAGGCCCTAGGGTGCTTACTCTACCAGCCAGGTTTCAGGCTGGTGACCCACAGATGTGGCTATTGAACAGGCAGGTGTGAAACCAGCAGAGTGAGGGGCTGTGGTTCTATGATAAGCATATGGGTGGGACGTGGGTAAGGAGGGAAGAGGCAGGGCCACAAACCATGCCACTAAGATGCATTTTCATCTGGAATTTCAGAGGTGATGACAAGCCAAAGCCAGGTAGGATGGAGACTGGGGCATGAGAAAAGGAGCTCACAGCTCCATAGGCCAGGAGAAAGGTGTAGAGAGAGCCCGGTTATGAAAGCTTGGCAGAATGGCAGCTCCTGAAATGAAAGCTTTCTTCCTTCAGCTTTGGGCAATTGTGCCCAGGATGATGCCTGGCCAGGTGTGACACTCATATTCCCCTGCCCCTCAGGTTGGAGGTGGCAAGCTCATGCTTACATTCAGCATTGCAGTTACAGACAACACTTCCTGTGTTCTCTTTGAGGGTATTGTGGGCATTCCATGAGACTGGAGGTACCGGGGGGGGGGGGGGGGGTGTTGTTGAGAGAAGGGTTGGGAGGAGAAGCTGAGTGTGTGGGGACAGGGCATTCCTAGATAGCAAGTGTTACTGCCATGGCTGGAGGCAGCTCAGCTTCTCGGGGCTGCAGCCCTGGCTTCCTCTTTGAAGCCTGCCTTGAGTTTTGCCAGACAGAGAGCATCCGTGTCCTTCAGCACTAGCCTGACTCTCAGCCTTGGCCTTGGCTACCAGAGGCTGAGCCTAAACACCGTCAGTTAGCATCCTGCAGAGAAGGACCAGTTGTACCCAGCAGTTTCTGTGGAACGAGGCTGGAGGACCCTCCCTGGGGTAACAGACGCTACCTTCCCTTCTTCTCTGGGTCTTTTCGAACCCTATGAGGCCAAGGATGCTCAGCAGGGCAGCAGATCTGAAAATAGGGATTTTGCTTAGGACCTGAGACCTAGGCTGGCTGTACTCTAGGAATAACCCTGGCCAGGCAGGGCATCATGAATGCATCACATCAGAAATATAGATGGACATGTTTATGTCTTTCCACAGTATTAGAATTTATTGAGTAGCTATAAATTGACATGCTAAATAAGTTTCATTTACTTAAATTTGCCAAGTAATCCCAGTTTTGCTTGATAGCCAACCGTTGGCATCACAGGTTCTTTTATTCCAGTCTTTTGTTTTTAATGTGTATCTGTGTGGGAGTATGTGCACATGAGTGCGGTTGCCAGTGGAGGCCAGAAGAGGGTGTTAGATTTCCAGGGGCTGGAGTTATAGGTGTTTGTGAACATCCTGACCTGGGTGCTTGGGAAGTGCACTCAGTCCTCTGCAAGAACAGCAAGCTCTCTTAACCCCTGAGCCGTCTCTCCAGCCACTTTTATTCAAATCTTAATTACAAAATACTAGCAGGTCACACATTGCCCTTCACACAGTACTGTCTATATGTTCAGGTTCCGGAATAGCTAAGAAGGGGCTGCAGCGGCTGCAGAGCCCAGAGAGGGTGTATAGAAGGTGGAGGAAGAGAGCTGATACAGACACGGGGAAGAATGTAGGGAACCGCAGAAGAAGTCTTCTGAGTCACAAACGCAGAGATGTCAGTTGCAGGTTTGGGTGGCAGGCCCTTTTCAGGGTCACTTTGAAAGTACACTGAGTTTAGAAGCAGAAGAATCTGTTTGAGCCCACAGCCTGGGGACAGAGCCAAGGGTTCTTTGCCATGACAGTATTCCTGGACTAGGCTGGTCGGTAGGCCTGCTGCGTTTCAGCCTTGGATTGCCCTTGTAGTCCCAGGGGTTGGGGCTGTCACTTCTGCTGGACTGTGTTTGAGCTAGGATCTGATAGTCTCAGTCGACACTTACCGCTTTGTTTCTCCCGGTGGGCTGACAGATGGTGGGGATTTGCTTGTGTAAATAAGATACGGAGTCGTTCTTCCTGCTGCTTACACTCAGAATGGAATAACTTGAGCTAAGGATATTGCTTTACAAGGTGGAGGAGCTCAAGATTAGGCACAGTGGCCATTCTATGCACGACAGTGACCCAGAGCAGGTCCAGCTGTCCTCGACAGCTCCCCAGGTCCCTCCCCAGGGAAGCCCTTCTTGGTTGCCTCACATAACCCCCTTCCTTATGATCTCTAGCCCATTGCTGAGCCTTCTGTACTAGTGGGGGGACTGACCACCTGCTTTCTCCCAGGGACCCCAGCGGACAACCCGGAGGGGAGCTGATGCTCGGTGGCATTGACTCCAAGTTCTACAAGGGGGAGCTGTCCTTCATGAATGTCACTCGCAAGGCCTACTGGCAGGTGCACATGGATCAGTGAGTCATGGGTGTTGTGGGGGCTGGGAGTACTGTGTAGGGGTGGCATGTGGGAAGCCTGGGGCCCTACTCTGCCGCTTGAGTCTTCTGGACCATTCAGGGTCTTATACCAGTTGTTTGGTCTCGAGAAAAAAGAGGCAGGCGTCTCCAGGGCAGAGTCTGGGCAAGCTATGCCCATTTGTGACGGGGTGAGGTGACTGGTACATTCTTGCCCCGTAGGTTGGAGGTGGGCAGCGGCCTGACCCTATGCAAGGGAGGCTGTGAGGCTATTGTGGACACGGGGACGTCCCTTGTGGTGGGGCCTGTGGATGAGGTGAAGGAGCTACAGAAGGCCATTGGAGCAGTGCCTCTAATCCAGGGCGAGGTAAGCCACAGGCCTGTATGGGCTGGCCAGCAGCCAGAGAGGGTTCCCGAGGCCATACCTTCAATACTGTGTTCTCACTTGTGTCTCTTAGTATATGATCCCTTGTGAGAAGGTATCCAGTCTGCCTACCATCACCCTGAAGCTAGGAGGCAAAAACTATGATCTGCCCCCAGACAAGTATATACTCAAGGTGAGTGGGTGTGGGCAGTGGCAGTAAATCGGGACACCTTGGGTGAGGTTGATGTGTGTGATGACATGTGACCATTCTGGCCTTGCAGGTGTCTCAAGGTGGAAAGACAATCTGCCTGAGTGGCTTCATGGGGATGGACATACCCCCTCCCAGTGGGCCGCTCTGGATCCTGGGCGATGTCTTCATTGGCTGCTACTACACTGTGTTTGACAGAGACAACAACAGGGTTGGCTTTGCCAAAGCTGCCACTCTCTAAGTTGCTCCTTGCCCGTCATTGGGGAAATGGATCAGAGTCCAGTAGAGGAAGCCAGCCAGCCCCATCCCTCCACCTGCCCCACTCACACACATTCACACTCACCTAGCATTGCTGGGCCCTTGGGAGGCCTGGCTTGAGCTGGTCCAGCTGTTCTGTTCTGTGGTTCCTATCCCTGGGTTCAGATTGCCGCCCTCTGCCTGTCTGAAGGAGGCCAAGGCCCACCCAGTACATAAGGCTGCCGTGAAAGGCTCCTATTGGTTTGGTAGCTGCTGAGATTGCTTGTCTTATCCTGCTGCCCTTTGCTGCGTGGGCGGCACTCCAGAGCAGGCCAGTTGGTCTTGGGATCCCTCCAAGAACCAGCCCTGACCCAAGTCCCTCACTCAGCCTGGGGATGGCACCAAGCTTCACTGCCATACTATCTCTGACCTGGTAGAGACCTGAAGACTAGCAGGAAGGAGCAAGAGGACAGAAGCTAAACTATGAACCTGAGGGTTTACCTGGGGCCTGACCCCACCTACCTGGGAAGGAATGCCTCAGCCTGGGGCAGAGGCAGGATGGCTGACTGGTTTTAGCTGGCCTCTGCTGCCCTCATTCTGGGCTAGGTGGCTGGGAGCCAAAGTTGGTATACAAATACAGTTGTTTTGGGCCTCTTTCTCTGTGTCGGTGTGCTCTCTACTGCTTCTGAGTAGGGGCATGGGGATGGAGCTAGCAAGACTGGTGAGACCCAGTGCTTCTGAGGGAGGATTCAGGGACAGTCTGGCTGGGGGCAGGGTGGGGCTAGAACTCAGGTTTGCTTTTCAGTGCCAGGCCAGCCCACAGGGGACTCCTGAGGCCTGGCTTGCTGTCTGGCCTTGTGGGCAAGATGAGTCTGGGCTAGAACTGGCAGGTTCTTGGACCTCAGGCAGCAGTCAGCAACCGGATGTGGCCTTGGCTGGAGGCGTGGGGCAGGCCTAGAATTCTGGGATAGGGCTTGTACTGAATCATTTTCAGAGGTGGCTAGGCCAGCACCTGCTGTCCTTTGCCAGGGAAGCAGCCTGTCCCCAGAGGAAATGGAATGAGCCTTAGTGGGAATCTTGAACTTCATACATTCCTTTTACAACAGTCAGTCCTTTAAGCCTGGGTCAGAAAAGCTACCTGCTGGTGGTAGAGACCCTGGGCAGCCTCCCCGCCTAGGCCTCTGTGCTGGGCCCTAAAAGTGGCTTTTTGAGTCAAGCCAGTGTCAGAGCCTGCCTGGGGAGTTTGGGTTCAGAGGTCATAACTCCCTGGTCATGGGCTGCAGTTGCTTTACAAGCATCAATGTGAGGGTGAGGAAGAGAGTGAACAGGTTCAAATAGAAGAACAGCAACCAGCAGGGTTTTAAATAGGGAGTAGGAGTCTGTGAGTCCTTACTGGTAGGGCGAGGATTCCTTTTGGAATCAGCTCTGGAATCTTAGTGCCCCTTCCTTGCACCAGTAGGTGCAGGATCTAGGGCAGGGTGACCTTTGTCATGCGATTGTGTTGGCACCTTTACCTGCTAAACAGTGGTTGTCATTGTCTTAGGAGGGGCTCAGAAGGGGAGGGGGCGGCTATGGTCCAGAGCTGAGCCCTGTCAGGCTGCTTCTAGAGAATGTTCATCAAGAGTTGCCAGAAGGCCAGTAAACATGTGCCCAGTGTTCTCTGTCTGAAATCCGAGCAGGGAGTCCCGCAGAGCCTGGCAGAGCTTCTGGAGGCAAGTATTATCAAAGGCTTTTGCACCAAAGCTGGAGACACGGCTCCTCCCTCCCCTGCGGGCCTGAGGCTGAGCTTCACTGCCAGGCCTGCATGCTGCTGCTGCTACTGCCAGCTACCACCCGCCACCCAGGGATGCCCTGGGGAGGACCCTGGAATCTAGTTCAGGGTTCACATCCATTCTCTTCTAGCTGAATGACCCTGTCAGCCTCCAGTTCCTGGACCCTTTCTGCAGGCAGGGGTAGAGGGGCTGGCTGTAAGACCCTGTACCCTAGCTTTCTCGTGGTGGGTGTTTCTTCCCTCAAACCCCTGATCTGGGCATCGGTGAGGTAGTATTATACCCAAGGCTAGCCTTTCCCTCACCAGCTAAAAGTGAAAGGGCTGGGACACTGACTCCAGAGCCCTGAAGCTGACTTGGGAAGAGTCAGCCTCCACCTTACCAGTGACTTTGAGCAGACCCTGCTCTGAGGGCCAGAGGACCCTTCTGCATCCTGAAGTTTGAGGCTCACAGGCCAGATATGCCAAGGCAGCACCTGACCTAGGTTGTGTGGCATGGAGAGTGTCAAGGGTGCAGAAGGTGGAAGTAGCTTGCATGGTACACAGCCACAAACAGGCTGGGGAGGGACCTTCTTCAGTTCAGACCTCAGCAAGTCTGGTTGTCAGGCCCTTAGGATCCAAAGGAGTGGTGGAGTTGGGTGAGGGAGAACTGGCTTTCTGGCACAACCCATTTGCCCCCAGGCTCATTGGACCAACCAGGCTAGGCTCCATGAGGGAGTGCCCAGAAGAAAGCCAAGAAAAGAAGGGAGGGGTCCCTGTCTGCTTGGAAATTAATTCCACCCACTCAAGAAGGGTTTGTTTGTTTGTTTGTTTGTTTGTTTGTTTGTTTTTAATCTATACTTAAGATCCACTTCACACTGAAAATTCCTGACATGCAGAAATGAGCTGTTCCAGGGGTCAGCAGGGGTCGGAGGTGGGGTTTGGGCTGGAAAGGGAGGATCTTGGCATGGGGCAGGGCTTATCCAGGAGACAGGGCCTTGGAGGATTCAGGGTTCAGAAAGCCAAAGTTTCAGGAGACCAGAAAGATGAAGGGTTCAGGCAACCCTGGAACACTCTAAAAAGGGTCCCAGAGAAGAACTAGGGAGAAAGGGATCTGGAGAAGAGGGCAAAAATCGAGGCTCTTGTTCACAGATTGGGGAAATTCAGAGTAGGATGAAGAGGACCTCCTGAGAATCCCCACACACATTCACATGACAAGGTAGGGGTTCTGAGGGAGTAAGGACTGTTAGGAGTTCTCCGTGGGGAAGGAAGCCCTTGGGACTTACCTGGAGCTGAGGATTCAGTTCAGGGACAAATGTCCAAGAGAGATTGAGAATGGAGTGGCAAAGGGGAGGGAAGGGGGGCGGGCATGGGGACTGCATGAGACTGAGCCTTAGAGGACAGTGATGCTTGGGCCCAAGTAACCTGTAGGGATAGAGCACTAACAGAGCCCAGGATGGGGGTCAGAGAGGCTATGAGCTCCAAGGAGATCCGTGTAGGTTATCTGAAAGGGACCAGGATCCAGGGCTAGGAGGCCTGGCCCTGAGGGCAGAGGGGAGCTTGCTATGAAGGGACAGGCCAGCCTGTTACAGGTCAGGTACTTCAAGCTTGGTTTTTGATGAACAGGATTAGAAGGAATGAGCCAGGCTTAGAGGGGTCAGACTTGGGAAACAGGGACTCCAGCAGCGCACAGAGGGGGTGCTCTTAAGATTATTGGTGAAGGGTTTGGACTTGGTAAGATCAGGAGAAAAAATCCTAGATGTTGACCCTGGGGACTTAGGAGACAGGATTGAACAAAGATGAGTGTTCCGTTGGAGTTTAGTGCTTTCTCATTTGGGTAGGGACTGATCTGCAACCTGGAGGCTTCAAGGGACCAGAGACTCCAAACAGAAGCTTAGTTGGGGATGGGGACGAGACCAGCTCAGACAGGGTCTTATATAGTAGTGAGGATGGAGTTCCCCTTGGCAGGATCAAGGAAGAGGTGGGTGGGGCCTTAGGAAGCTGATGCCAGGACAGGGTCTCCTGGGAAAAGGGCAATGACTGCAGTGGGGACTGAGAGTGGCAGGTGGGACTCAACAGGGTAAGAGGAAGAGGTTTGAGGTAAAGGGGTTCTGAAGGCACAGTTCTTGGAACTAGTAAGGCTCCTTGGGAGAAATGCAGGGAGAGGGGAGCAGGCCTGGGAACAAGGTGGAATGCTCAGCAGACAGACTTGCCAGACCCAAGGACCCACCAGAGAATATGAGGACAGGTGGGCAGGGGAAGCAGCTTAGTCGTCGGTGGATATGGGAGCCATGCAGCTCATGGGTTTCAAGGGTCCCAGCCTCTCGCAGCTTGCGACTCCCCGGGGTCCTGCCTTCCGGGCTAGCGGGTCCCCTCCCTCCCTAGGGAGGTGGCTGAGGTGTCTGCGCCGCCGCCGCCGTGAGTCAGGCTCTGGCTGCAGCCGCGGCTGGCCTGGCGCTGCGGAGCGAGCGCGCGCGGGCAGCGGGGGAGGCAGCGGCGCCAGCACCACTCGCTCCCCGCCCCCAAGGTTGGGCCGCTGGGACGCTCAGCGGACAGACAGCGGCCCGGGACAGCGGAAGGACGCGCGCTCCGAGGCTCAGGGGTCTGACCCGCTTGCCGCCCAGTCGCCAGTAGGTGAGCGATCCCGGTGGCTGCTGCAGCCTTGGGTCAGACCAGGGACCACCCAATTCGGCCACAGCCCCCTGCTATAGCCCCATGGGGAACGGGCGCGCCTGGTGGCGCAGGGTTCCAGCGCCAAGCTGTCTCTTGGAAATGTCCATTTCGCAGAGTCTCATTGTGGGTCTTTTGGTGGCACGGGGGTAGGGGGGAGGTGAGTGGCTCCTTGTGACAATGTGCACTCTTAGGGTCCCTAGTTAGGCTCTTAGCCGGGTTTAGGAGGCGAAGAGCGCGAGTTTGTAGCCCTGCACCTGCGCGGATCTTCCCGAAATGTGTCTATGAGGCGGTGTGTGTAGCGCTGCGCGTCTGGGTGGGCAGTTGTTTACCTGGCGCGTCTGGGCGCGCGGGTGTGCTGAGACTAGAGAGCTCGGCGGGTGATGGTGTGTATGTGGTGCTTCTTGGTGTGTATGTGCTTCAGCGAGCACTGTTCATCCTACCAGTCAGTGACTAGAGCAGTGTCACTGTAGGTCTGAATGCCCAGAGTGCGTGGAGATGCAGGGGCGCTTTGCTTATCGCAACAGGGTGTCAGTCAGGATGCTGAGGGGGTGCTGTTGTGTGTGTCAGTAGGCGCAGATGGCAAAGCGATGAAAAGCCCTGATGTGCTTGCCAAGGCTACTGAGAATGGCTTTGGTATTGGCTGTGGCCGGCTGGGTGGGGGAGGCAGGTGGCAGGCAGGCTGGCAGCTGGCAACCTCGCAGGGATTTCCATCTCCCATAGGCCATTTATGGGTTTGCAGGGAAGATGCTGCAAGGCCCCAGGGTAGGTGTTACTGGGCACTCAGAGCCCAGCTACTCCTCACTCTGTCCCTCCCTCCAGGCCCAGGGCCCCAGCCAGTGCCCAGCCCTGCTGGGAGCCCCGGCCAGCACCACGGACGGCACCCAGGAAGCCCGAGTCCCCCTGGACGGGGCCTTCTGGATTCCCAGGCCACCAGCAGGTTCACCCAAGGGCTGCTTCGCCTGTGTGTCCAAGCCTCCCGCCCTGCAGGCTGCAGCGGCCCCAGCTCCTGAGCCCTCAGCCTCGCCCCCCATGGCACCCACTCTGTTTCCTATGGAGTCCAAAAGCAGCAAGACTGACAGCGTTCGGGCATCGGGTGTCCCCCAGGCCTGCAAGCACTTAGCTGAGAAGAAGACCATGACCAACCCTACAACAGTCATTGAGGTCTACCCGGACACCACAGAAGTGAACGACTACTATCTGTGGTCCATCTTCAACTTCGTCTACCTCAACTTCTGC